TTCATAAAGAAATGTAAAGTACCAGTAGCGAGAGCACTCAGCGTAATATGGAGAAAGAGCCTGAATACAGGGGAGATATCAGCAGCATTTAAATCTGCAGATATAGCTCCGTTGCACAAGGGGGCAGTAAAGCCTTGGCAAAAAATTAGAGGCCAGTTGCACTAACATCACACATAATAAAAGAGTTTGAAAGAGTGATTAGGAATTAAATTTCTAGTTTTATGGAAACAATGAATTGTACAACCCAGGACAGCATGGATTTAGAGCGGGAAGATCCTGTCTGTCACAGTAACTCAACCACTATGACAAAATTACAGAAGCCCTAGAAGAAAAGCAAAATGCAGATGTTGTATACACAGACTTTGCAAAGCCTCGGGGCTTGGTGGGGCCTAGGGGCCTCGTAGCCTGGTGGATAGCGTGCAGGACTCGTAATTCTGTGGCGCGGGTTCGATTCCCGCACGAGGCAGAAACAAATGGGCAAAGTTTCTTTCACCCTGAATGCCCCTGTTACCTAGCAGTAAATAGGTACCTGGGTGTTAGTCAGCTGTCACGGGCTGCTTCCTGGGGGTGGAGGCTTGGTCGAGGACCGGGCCGCGGGGACACTAAAAGCCCCGAAATCATCTCAAGATAACCTCAAGAAGCCGTTCGACAAATGTGACCATGGGGTGATAGCTCACAAAATGAGGTTAATGGGAATAACTGGAAAAGTAGGACGCTGGATACTCAATTTCCTGTTGAACAGAACACAAAGAGTAACAGTCAATCAGATAAAATCGAGTCCAAGCGATGTTAAAAGCTCTGTACCTCAAGGTACAGTCCTTGCACCGCTACTGTTCCTTATTCTCATATCTGATATAGACAAAAATACACGACACAGCTTCGTGTCATCCTTTGCAGATGACACAAAAATCAGCATGAAAATTACCTCTACTGAAGACATTGAAAAACTACAAGCAGATGTCAACAAAGTTTTCGATTGGGCAGCAGAAAATAACATGATGTTTAACAGTGATAAATTTCAGGTACTCAGGTACGGCAAAAATGAAAATCTGAAACATAATACAGGGTACAAAGCACAATCGAATCTTCCCATAGTAGAAAAACAGCATGTCAAGGATTTGGGAATAATGATGTCCGACGATCTAACGTTTAGGGAGCATAACCAAGCAAATAACGCGTCAGCCAGAAAAATGATCGGGTGGATTACGAGAACTTTCAAATCCAGGGATCCCATCACAATGGTTGTACTCTTCAAGTCACTTGTGTTGTCCCGTCTCGAGTACTGCTCAGTACTCACTTCCCCCTTCAGAGCAGGAGAGATTGCTGAAATAGAGGGAATACAGAGAATATATACGGCACGCATAGACGAGATAAAACACCTAAATTATTGGGATCGTCTCGAAGCTCTCCAAATGTACTCTCTAGAAAGGAGACGAGAGAGATACCAAATAATATACACATGGAAAATACTGGAGAGCCAGGTCCCAAATCTACACAGTAAAATAACAACGTACTGGAGTGAACGATATGGAAGAAAATGCAAGATTGAACCAGTGAAGAGCAGAGGTGCCATAGGCAAAATCAGAGAGCACTGTATAAACATCAGAGGTCCGCGGTTGTTCAACGTCCTCCCAGCGACTATAAGAAATACTGCCGTTACAACCGTGGACATCTTCAAGAGAAAACTGGACTGTTTTCTAAGAGACGTTCCGGATCAGCCGGGCTGTGGTGGGGTATGTGACCCTGCGGGCCGCTCCAAGCAACAGCCTGGTGGACCAAACTCTCACTGGTCGAGCCTGGCCTCGGGCCGGGCTTGGGGAGTAGAAGAACTCCCAGAACCCCAACAAGCAGGTACCAAGTAGGCTGAGCCACAGCAACCTTCCCTGTCCCCGTGTCCCCACCATTCCCAACTCCACTGTCTCTTCATCCTCCCAACCATTCCCCACTTCCCCGTCCCCTCGTCCACCCCCACCATCCCCCACTCCCTCTTCCTCTTATCCTCCCCACCATCCCCCCCTCCCTCGTCCCTCGTCCTCCCTACCATCCCCACTCCCCTGTCCCCTTGCCCTTCCCACCATTCTCCACTCCCCTATCCACTTCATCCTCCCCACCATCTCCAACTCACCCGTCCCCTCTTCCTCCCCACTATTACCCCCTGCCCGTCCCCTCGTCCTCCCCACCATTCTCCACTCCCTCTTTCAATGCGTTCCCAACTGAGCTGATGCTCCCATCAGAAAAACGGGAACATCAAATGATCTAAATGTTCCTTTCACTGAAAAATAAAAAGAACAGTTAAAAAAAAACGAAATGAAAACAGTAAAAGAATTAAAAATAAATTGTACTCATGAAATAAACTGTATTATAGACAACACAGCTCAATTTCAAAGCAATGTCACATAATAATTAAATCAAAATGAAAATAAATCGAAATCTTTGAAAATTCAATTTATCAATACAATCTGAAACATTGAAATGGAATTGTAACATATTTAGTATAACGTGTGTTGCTCTTTCTTGCGACATATGGCGTTTTTTTTTTTTTTTTAAAAGCATGTTTTTACCTGTCACAGGTATGGCATCTATACGTATAATAACGATATGAACGGTATGGTAAACAACACAGATCAATTCTAACACAATGTCAGTTGGAATTGATCTGTGTTGATCCAACACAATGTCAGTTATTCAGGGGAGATGACGATTGACTGATGTCATTGACCATTAACAATGTCTGTGCAGGGTCACCGAGGTAAAGAAATTTAAGTGCAACGGGAGGCAGCCTTTTAATCCCCATGGTGCACATATCTGGGGCCAAAGGCAGACCATTGAAATCCATGGATAATATATCACTATATCACGACTCATACACCGGCCTTCGACATTCGCAGAAAAAAATCACAACTCAATGTCCGGCCGTCGACATCCACGAAAATAATCACTGCTCAATAACTGGCATGGAGAAAAATATGACCCCCCCCCCACGATTCAATGACCGGCTTGGGAAAAATGAAAATGGCCGGTCATTGTCTCTCTTTCCACTACTCACCCAGGTGTACACACTGCACCACCCAGGTGTACACACTGCACCACCCAGGTGTACACACTGTACCACCCAGGTGTACACACTGTACCACACAGGTGTACACACTGCACCACCCAGCTGTCCAGTGCTCCTCGTGCACCACCGCGCTCGAGAAGTCATCCACAACACTATCACCAGGTGCACATACATGCGGGTACTCTACCACCCACCCACACACACAACATACACACGCGAGTACACTAACACACCCACACCCACAACACCCACAACACCCTCCCACACCCACAACACCCTCCCACACCCACAACACCCGCCCACACACACAACACCCTCCCACACCCACAACACCCGCCCACACCCACAACACCCTCCCACACCCACAACACCCGCCCCCACACACAAAACCGCCCATAGTCACAACATACATATGCAGGTGCACCAACAGCAGCCCACACCCACACATACACACGCAGGTGTACAATACCCGCCCACAGACAGGAAAGGGCAGCACCAGACACACTGGAGGCAGTGTAGGTGTATTAGTGTAGGTGTTGATGATCCCTCGCCACCATCAAATTTACTCAGGTGATGACAGGAAATTAATGTTGACCCGACGGTAATGTGGCCCTCGCGTGGCACCCTCGTGGCACTCCTCACTGCCACACGTGGCACCCTCACTGCCACAAGTGGCACCCTCATTGTCACAAGTGGCACTCTCACTCACACGTGGCACCCTCACTGCCACAAGTGGCACCCTCATTGTCACAAGTGGCACTCTCACTCACACGTGGCACCCTCACTGCCACAAGTGGCACCCTCATTGTCACAAGTGGCACTCTCACTCACACGTGGCACCCTCACTGCCACAAGTGGCACCCTCATTGTCACAAGTGGCACTCTCACTCACACGTGGCACCCTCACTGCCACAAGTGGCACACTCACTGTCACAAGTGGCCCACTCACTGACTCAAATGGGACCTTCACTGTCACAAATGGCACCCTCAATGCCTCAAGTTGCATCCTCACTGTCACAAGTGGCTCCCTCACTGTCACTAGTGGCACCCTCACTGTCACAAGTGGCACACTCACTGTCACATGTGGCACACTCACTGTCACAAATAGCACACTCACTGTCACAAATAGCACACTCACTGTCACAAATGGCATCCTCACTGTTACCAGTGGCACCCTCATTATCACATGTGGCACCTTCACTGTCACAAGTGGCACCCCCACTGTCACATGTGGCACCCCTCATCGTCTCAAGTGGCACCTCACTGTCACAAGTGGCACTGTAACTGTCAATAGTGGAACCCTCACTGTCACAAGTGGCACCCTCACTGTCACAAGTGGCACCCTCACTGTCACAAGTGGCACCTCTCACTGCCACAAGTGGCAACTTTACTGTCACAAGCGGCACATTCACTGTCACAAGTGGCATCCTCAATGCCACAAGTGGCACCTTCACTGTCACAAGTGCACACTCACTATCACAAGTGGCACACTCACTGTCACAAATAGCAAACTCACTGTCGCAAACGACAAATTCACTGTCACAAGTGTCACCTTCACTGTAACATGTTTCACCCTGACTTACAAGTTTCACCGTCACTGTCACTTGTGGAACCTTCATTGTCACAAGTGGAGCCTTCACTGTCACAAGTGGAGCCTTCACTGTCACATGTGGAACCCTCACTGTCAAAAGTGGCACCTTCACTGCCACATGTGGCACCTTCACTGTCACATGTGGCACCTTCACTGTCATATGTGGCACCTTCACTGTTACATGTGTCAGCCTCACTGTCACAAGTGGCACCCTCACTGTCACAAGTGGCACCTTCACAGTCACATGATGCACCTTCACTGTAACTTGTGGCACCTTTACTGTCACATGTTGTACCTTCACTGTCATATGGTGCACTATCACTGTCACATGTGGAACCTTCACTGACACAAATGGCACCCTCACTGTCAAAAGTGGCACATATACTGTCACATGTGGCACCTTTACGGTCACATGTGGCACCTTCACTGCCACATGTGGCACCCTCACTGTCACATGTAGCACCCTCACTGCCACCAGTGGCCTCCTCACTGTCACAAGTGACACCCCTCACTGTTACAAACGACACCTTCACAGTCACATGTGGCACCCCTCACTCTCTCTCAAGTGGCACCCTCTCTGTCACATGTGGCACCTTCACTGCCACATGTGGCACCCTCACTGTCACATGTAGCACCCTCACTGCCACCAGTGGGACCCTCATTGTCACAAGTGGCACGATTTGTCACAAGTTGCACCCTCTCAGTCACAAGTTGAATCTTCACTGTCACATGCGGCACCTTCACTCTCACATGTTGCACCTTCACTGTCACAAGTGGCACCCTCACTGTCACAAGTGGCACCCTCACAGTCACTTGTGGCACCCTCACTGTCACAAGTGGCACCTTCACTGTCACATGTGGCACCCAGACTTACAAGTTCCACCGTCACTGTCACTTGTGGAATTTTCACTGTCACAAGTGGAGCCTTCACTGTCACATGTGGCACCCTCACTGTCACAAAATTCACCTTCACTGTCACATGTGGCACCTTCACTGTCACATGTGGCCCCTTCACTGTCACATGTGGCACCTTCACTGTTACATGTGTCAGCCTCACTGTCACAAGCGGTACCATCACTGTCACATGTGACACCTTCACTGTCACATGTGGCACCCTCCCTGTCAAAAGTGGCACCTTCACTTTCACCTGTGGCACCCTCACTCTCAAAAGTGGCACTCTCACAGTCACAAGTGGCCTCTTCACTGTCACATGTGGCACCTTCACTGTCACATGTGGCACCTTCACTCTCACAAGTGGCACCCTCACAGTCACAAGTGGCACCTTTACTGTTACCTGTGGCACCCTTACTGTCAAAAATGGCACCCTCACTGTCAAATGTGGCACCTTCACCGTCACAAGTGGCACCCTCACTGTCACAAGTGGCACCCTCACAGTTACATGTGGCACCCTCACTCTCTCAAAAGGCACCCTCACTGTCACAAGTGGCACCTTCACTGCCACAAGGGGCAACTTTACTGTCACAGGTAGCACCCTCACTCTCACAAGTGGCACCCTCACTGTCACATGTGGCACACTCACTGTCACATATGGCACCCCTCACTGTCACATGTGGCACCCTCACTGTCACAAGTTGCACCCTCACAGTCACATGTGGCACCTCTCAGTGTCACAAGTGGTACCCCTCACTGTCACATGTGGCACCTCAGTGTCACACGTGGCACCCTCACTCCCATCAGTGGCAGCCTCACTGTCATAAGTGGCACCCTCATAGTCACATGTGGAAACTTTACTCTATCAAATGGCACCCTCACTGTCACAAGTGGCACCTTCACTGACACAAGTGGCACCCTCACTCTCACATGTGGCATCATCTGTCACAAGTTGCACCCTCACAGTCACAAGTGGCATCTTCACTAAAACAAGTGGCACCTCCCACTGCCAGAAGTGGCAACTTTACTGTCACAAGTGACACCCTCACTGTCACAAGTGGCCCACTCACTGACTCAAATGGGACCTTCACTGTCACAAATGGCACCCTCAATGCCTCAAGTTGCATCCTCACTGTCACAAGTGGCTCCCTCACTGTCACAAGTGGCACCCTCACTGTCACAAGTGGCACCCTCACTGTCACATGTGGCACACTCACTGTCACAAATAGCACACTCACTGTCACAAATAGCACACTCACTGTCACAAATGGCATCCTCACTGTTACCAGTGGAACCCTCACTGTCACAAGTGGCACCCTCACTGTCACAAGTGGCACCCTCACTGTCACAAGTGGCACCCCCACTGTCACATGTGGCACCTCACTGTCACAAGTGGCACTGTAACTGTCAATAGTGGCACCCTCATTGCCACAAGTTGAACTCTCACTGTCACATGGGGCACCTTCACTGCCACAAGTGGCACCTCTCACTGCCACAAGTGGCAACTTTACTGTCACAAGCGGCACATTCACTGTCACAAGTGGCATCCTCAATGCCACAAGTGGCACCTTCACTGTCACAAATGCACACTCACTATCACAAGTGGCACACTCACTGTCACAAATAGCAAACTCACTGTCGCAAACGACAAATTCACTGTCACAAGTGTCACCTTCACTGTAACATGTTTCACCCTGACTTACAAGTTTCACCGTCACTGTCACTTGTGGAACCTTCATTGTCACAAGTGGAGCCTTCACTGTCACAAGTGGAGCCTTCACTGTCACATGTGGAACCCTCACTGTCAAAAGTGGCACCTTCACTGCCACATGTGGCACCTTCACTGTCACATGTGGCACCTTCACTGTCATATGTGGCACCTTCACTGTTACATGTGTCAGCCTCACTGTCACAAGTGGCACCCTCACTGTCACAAGTGGCACCTTCACAGTCACATGATGCACCTTCACTGTAACTTGTGGCACCTTTACTGTCACATGCTGTACCTTCACTGTCATATGGTGCACTATCACTGTCACATGTGGAACCTTCACTGACACAAATGGCACCCTCACTGTCAAAAGTGGCACATACACTGTCACATGTGGCACCTTTACGGTCACATGTGGCACCTTCACTGTCACATGTGGCCCCCCTCACTGTCACAAGTAGCACCTTCACTGCCACAAGTGGCCTCCTCACTGTCACAAGTGGCACCCCTCACTGTTACAAACGACACCTTCACAGTCACATGTGGCACCCCTCACTCTCTCTCAAGTGGCACCCTCTCTGTCACATGTTGCACCCTCACTATCACAAGTGGCACCCTCACTGTCACATGTAGCACCCTCACTGCCACCAGTGGGACCCTCATTGTCACAAGTGGCACGATTTGTCACAAGTTGCACCCTCTTAGTCACAAGTTGAATCTTCACTGTCACATGCGGCACCTTCACTCTCACATGTTGCACCTTCACTGTCACAAATGGCACCCTCACTGTCACAAGTGGCACCCTCACAGTCACTTGTGGCACCCTCACTGTCACAAGTGGCACCTTCACTGTCACATGTGGCACCCAGACTTACAAGTTCCACCGTCACTGTCACTTGTGGAATTTTCACTGTCACAAGTGGAGCCTTCACTGTCACATGTGGCACCCTCACTGTCACAAAATTCACCTTCACTGTCACATGTGGCACCTTCACTGTCACATGTGGCCCCTTCACTGTCACATGTGGCACCTTCACTGTTACATGTGTCAGCCTCACTGTCACAAGCGGTACCATCACTGTCACATGTGACACCTTCACTGTCACATGTGGCACCCTCCCTGTCAAAAGTGGCACCTTCACTTTCACCTGTGGTACCCTCACTCTCAAAAGTGGCACTCTCACAGTCACAAGTGGCCTCTTCACTGTCACATGTGGCACCTTCACTGTCACATGTGGCACCTTCACTCTCACAAGTGGCACCCTCACAGTCACAAGTGGCACCTTTACTGTTACATGTGGCACCCTTACTGTGAAAAATGGCACCCTCACTGTCAAATGTGGCACCTTCACCGTCACAAGTGGCACCCTCACTGTCACAAGTGGCACCCTCACAGTTACATGTGGCACCCTCACTCTCTCAAAAGGCACCCTCACTGTCACAAGTGGCACCTTCACTGCCACCAGGGGCTACTTTACTGTCACAGGTGGCACCCTCACTCTCACAAGTGGCACCCTCACTGTCACATGTGGCACACTCACTGTCACATATGGCACCCCTCACTGTCACATGTGGCACCCTCACTGTCACATATGGCACCCCTCACAGTCACATGTGGCACCTCTCAGTGTCACAAGTGGTACCCCTCACTGTCACATGTGGCACCTCAGTGTCACACGTGGCACCCTCACTCCCATCAGTGGCAGCCTCACTGTCATAAGTGGCACCCTCATTGTCACATGTGGAAACTTTACTCTATCAAATGGCACCCTCACTGTCACAAGTGGCACCTTCACTGACACAAGTGGCACCCTCACTCTCACATGTGGCATCATCTGTCACAAGTTGCACCCTCACAGTCACAAGTGGCATCTTCACTAAAACAAGTGGCACCTCCCACTGCCAGAAGTGGCAACTTTACTGTCACAAGTGACACCCTCACTGTCACAAGTGGCACCTTCACTGTCACAAGTGGCTCCTTCTCTGTCACAAGTGGCACCTTCTCTGTCACAAGTGGCACCCCACTCTGTCATATGTAGCACCCTAACTGTCACAAGTGGCACCCTCACTGTAACATGTGGCACCCACTCTGTTGCATGTAACACCCTCACTGTCACAAGTGTCACCTCCCAGTGCCACAAGTGGCACCCTCACAGTCACATGTGGAACCTTCACTGTCACGTGTAGCTTCCTCACTGTCACTTGTGGCACCTTCACTATCACATGTGGCACCTTCACTGTCACAAGTGGCTCACTCACTGTCACAAGTGGCACCCTCACTCTCACAAGTGGCTCCTTCACTGTCACATGTGGCACTTTCACTATCACATGTGGCACCTTTACTGTCACTTGGGGCACCTTCATTGTCACGTGTAGCACCCTCACTGTCACAAGTGGCACCCTCACTGCCGCAAGTGGCACCTTCACTTTCACATGTGGCACCTTTACTGTCACAAGTGGCACGTTCATTATCACAAATTGCACCCCCACTGTCACATGTGGCATCTTCACTGTCACAAGTGGCACCTTTACTGTCACATGTGACACCCTGACCTACAAGTTGCACCCTCACAGTCACTTGTGGATACTTCACTGTCACAAGTGGCACCTTCACTGTCAGAAGTGGCACCTTCACTGTCACATGTGGCACCTTCACTGTCACATGTGGCACCTTCTCTGTCACATGTGGCACCTTCACTGTTACATGTGTCACCCCTCACTGTCACAAGTGGCACCCTCACTGTCAGAAGTGGCACCTTCACAGTCACATGTGACACCTTCACTGTCACATGTGATACCTTCACTGTCACATGGTGCACTATCACTTTCACATGTGGTACCTTCACTGTCACAAATGGCACCCTCACTGTCAAAAGTGGCACGTACACTGTCACATGTGGCACCTTTACTGTCATATCTGGCACCTTCACTGCCACATATGGCACCCTCACTGTCACAAGTGGCACCCACACCGCCACAAGTGGCCTCCTCACTCACATGTGGCACCCTCACTGTCAAAAGTGGCACGTACACTGTCACATGTGGCACCTTTACTGTCATATCTGGCACCTTCACAGTCCCATGTGGCACCTCACTCTCTCAAGTGTCACCCTCGCTGTCTCAAGTGGCATCTTCACTGCCACAAGTGGCAACTTTATTGTCACAAGTGGCACCCTCACTCTCACATGTGGCACCTTCACTGTCACAAGTGGCACCCTCACAGTCACATGTGGCACCCCTCACTATCACAAGTGGCATCTTCACTGTCGCGAGTGGCATCTTTTCCGTCACAAGTGGCACCTTCACTGTCACAAGTGGCAAACTCACTGTCACGTGTGGCACCCTTACTCTCACAAGGGGCACCCTCACTGTCTCATATGGCACCCTCACTATCACATGTGGCACCCTCACTGTCACATGTGACACCCTCACTGTCACAAGTGGCATCCTCACTGTCACAGGTGGCACCATCTTTCACAAGTGGCACCCTCACAATCACAAGTGGCACCCTCCCTGTCACAAGTGGCACCTTCACTGTCACAATTGGCACCGTCACTGTCACATGTGGCACCTTCACTGTCACATGTGGCACCTTCACTGTCACAAGTGGCACCCTCACTGTCACAAGTGGCACCCCACTCTGTCATATGTAGCACCCTAACTGTCACAAGTGGCACCCTCACTGTAACATGTGGCACCCACTCTGTTGCATGTAACACCCTCACTGTCACAAGTGTCACCTCCCAGTGTCACAAGTGGCACCCTCACAGTCACATGTGGAACCTTCACTGTCACGTGTAGCTTCCTCACTGTCACTTGTGGCACCTTCACTATCACATGTGGCACCTTCACTGTCACAAGTGGCTCACTCACTGTCACAAGTGGCACCCTCACTCTCACAAGTGGCTCCTTCACTGTCACATGTGGCACTTTCACTATCACATGTGGCACCTTTACTGTCACTTGGGGCACCTTCATTGTCACGTGTAGCACCCTCACTGTCACAAGTGGCACCCTCACTGCCGCAAGTGGCACCTTCACTTTCACATGTGGCACCTTTACTGTCACAAGTGGCACGTTCATTATCACAAATTGCACCCCCACTGTCACATGTGGCATCTTCACTGTCACAAGTGGCACCTTTACTGTCACATGTGACACCCTGACCTACAAGTTGCACCCTCACAGTCACTTGTGGATACTTCACTGTCACAAGTGGCACCTTCACTGTCACATGTGGCACCCTCACTGTCAGAAGTGGCACCTTCACTGTCACATGTGGCACCTTCACTGTCACATGTGGCACCTTCTCTGTCACATGTGTCACCCCTCACTGTCACAAGTGGCACCCTCACTGTCAGAAGTGGCACCTTCACAGTCACATGTGACACCTTCACTGTCACATGTGATACCTTCACTGTCACATGGTGCACTATCACTTTCACATGTGGTACCTTCACTGTCACAAATGGCACCCTCACTGTCAAAAGTGGCACGTACACTGTCACATGTGGCACCTTTACTGTCATATCTGGCACCTTCACTGCCACATGTGGCACCCTCACTGTCACAAGTGGCACCCACACCGCCACAAGTGGCCTCCTCACTCACATGTGGCACCCTCACTGTCAAAAGTGGCACGTACACTGTCACATGTGGCACCTTTACTGTCATATCTGGCACCTTCACAGTCCCATGTGGCACCTCACTCTCAAGTGTCACCCTCGCTGTCTCAAGTGGCATCTTCACTGCCACAAGTGGCAACTTTATTGTCACAAGTGGCACCCTCACTCTCACATGTGGCACCTTCACTGTCACAAGTGGCACCCTCACAGTCACATGTGGCACCTCACTATCACAAGTGGCATCTTCACTGTCGCGAGTGGCATCTTTTCCGTCACAAGTGGCACCTTCACTGTCACAAGTGGCAAACTCACTGTCACGTGTGGCACCCTTACTCTCACAAGGGGCACCCTCACTGTCTCATATGGCACCCTCACTATCACATGTGGCACCCTCACTGTCACATGTGACACCCTCACTGTCACAAGTGGCATCCTCACTGTCACAGGTGGCACCCTCACCGTCACAAGTGGCCGCTCACTGTCACAGGTGGCACCATCTTTCACAAGTGGCACCCTCACAATCACAAGTGGCACCCTCCCTGTCACAAGTGGCACCTTCACTGTCACAATTGGCACCGTCACTGTCACATGTGGCACCTTCACTGTCACATGTGGCACCTTCACTGTCACAAGTGGCACCCTCACTGTCATATGTGGCACCTTCACTGTTACAAGTGGCACCTTCACTGTCACATGTGTCACCCTCACTGCCGCAAGTGGCACCCTCACTGCCACAAATGGAACCTCACTGTCACAAGTGGCACCTTCACTATCACAAGTGGCACCCTTACTGCCACAAGTGGCACCCTCACTGTCACAAGTGGCACCTTCACTGTCACAAGTGGCTTCCTCACTGCCACAAGTGGCACCCACACTGTCACAAGTGTCACCCTCACTGTCACATGCGGCACCTTCACTGTCACATGTGGCACCTTCACTGTCACATGTGGCACCTTCACTGTCACATGTCTCACCCTCACTCTCACTAGTAACACTTTCACTTTCATATGTGGCACCTTCACTGTCACATGTGGCACCTTCACTATCACAAGTGGCACCCTGACTGTCAGAAGTGGCACCCTCACTGTTACAAGTGGTACCCTCACTGTCACATGTGGTGCCAATCACTGTCACATGTGGTGCCAATCACTGTCACAAGTGGCTTCCTCACTCTTTAAAGTTGCACACTATATACGGTAGACGTGACACTGCATCTGCCATAATCCAGGCTCAATATCTGAAGCTTAGGCAGACGTAAGCTTCGGCAGACGTTAGCTTAAGCAGACGAAAGCTTAGGCAGACGTAAGGTTATGCAGACGTAAGCTTAGGCAGACGTAAGCTTATGCAGACCTAAGCTTAGGCAGACGAAAGCTTATGCAGACGTTTGCTTCGGCAGACGACAGCTTATGCAGACGTAAGCTTAGGCAGACGTAAGCTTATGCATACGTTAGCTTAGGCAGACGTAAGCTTATGCAGACGTAAGTTTAGGCAGACGTAAGCTTATGCAGACGTTAGCTTAGGCAGACGTAAGCTTATGTAGACGTAAGCTTAGGCAGACGTAAGCTTATGCAGACGTTAGCTTAGGCAGACGTAAGCTTATGCCGACGTACGTTTAGGCAGACGTAAGCTCATGCAGACGTAAGCTTAGGCAGACGTAAGCTTATGCAGACGTTAGCTTATGCAGACGTAAGCCTATGCAGACGTAAGCTTAGGCAGACGTAAGCTTATGTAGACGTGAGCTTAGGCAGACGTAAGCTTATGTAGACGTAAGCTTAGGCAGACGTAAGCTTATGCACACGTTAGTGTTATTAAGAATACAACCACTGAGAAGCAAAATTTTGTGACTCCTTGATGGAGCCAGTCATAACAGCATGTATGTACAAAAATATGTTTGTGTAAATATGTACGCAATAAATTTTTGTAAGTATTTACGTAATTTGTGTAAGTATTTAGTTGATGTATGTGTGTGTATTAATATGGATGTAACATATTAGTTCGTATGTACAAACGTAAGCAGGGTTGAAATATAAGAATACGTGTGTATGTATATTTCTTTGTATGCTTTTATGTATGTATGTATTGTGACCGATCTGGAATAGCACTTTAACTACCTTGGCAGGTGGTGTGCCAATCTCACATTAATAAAAAAAAATTCAAAATGAAATAAAGCTGCTGAGTCCTTAACGGTGTACCAATTGTGGGAAAAAATAAGAAAATAAAAACTTTAAATATTTAATATAACAAAAAGACTTAAACTTTACAAAAAAAATTAAAAACAAAAAAATCCCTTTACCACTTGACTTTACACAAGCAAAGAAAAAATATTAATAAGTGAATTTACGTTACTGACAAAATGTGAATGTGACACTTTATACAAAGTGCTCCGAATGTCAGGTGACGGTTGGCTACCTTGTGGTGATTCCTAGTCGTGTAGTCAACCAGGATGTTAGGCGCAGCTGCTCGCAGCGGCATATGAATCACATACGAGTCACAGCCAGGTTGACCAGATACCCTTCGGAGATATTTATCGAGTTTAAGGAATATCTTGTTACCAGTTTCCCCAAAGCGTATCCTCTTGAGAGAGCTTATAACCTTGAAGGGGTCTACAAGGAAAGACGGATGCATAAGGACGGTCAACTTCTCAACAGGATCATCATTGTTTGGAAAGGCAGTGTTCCTTTCCTGAACATTACACCTTTGGACATTTCATCCCATCAAGTCCTATCAGACCTTGGGTATCCCCCCCTCCCTCCCTGTTGTTTATTATAAGTGCCACAGTACTCATCATATCTCTCTGTACTGTCGACATGACCCTGTGTGTGGGCTCAGCTCAACACCACGATACGAGGCAGTGTCCTCACAGGGACCCCCTTACCCTTGAGGATGGGGAGGAAGCCTCTCCTCCGGTCCGGGAGTGTCCCAGGTGTTTGTGTGAAGCCGTAGATGTTTGGCATCGTGGCTGCCCTCGACAGCAGGAAGCTCTTGATGTCACCTCTGGTAAGCAGTTTCCAACCATGGTAGGACTAAAGCAAACAAGCAAAGATACAGAAGAAATTGACTGGTTAAAAAATAAAATTAATGAATTGGAAATTAAAATAAAACCATTAGAGACGAATCTGCCCGGTGATAGTGAAGTGAATCATGCTAGCAATAGTGATCAAGTAAATTCTCACAGCATCAGTAGCGATGCAAGGGACAATCTTTCAGCTGTTGAGGCTACTCTATCTATCCCTACGGAACATGAGTGTTAAACCTCCATGGGAAATGGTGTTAGAGTAGTTATTGATCCCTCACTGACACCCCCACTAGATCACGATGAAACCCTTGAGATGGTTACAGATAAAGCGTTTAGAAAAACACCAATTGTTACTCAGGTAAAACGCATCCTACGCAAAGGTGATATTACTCAGGACACACGGGGCAAAGTTTGTTATG